TAATAAAGATGATTTCATTTAATTTTGTTTTGTTTATTCTTCTTAGGTTTAGCATTTGTTTTGTAAAGATAATGATTGTTTTAGCGATAAGTACGGCATAATTCATCTTTATATTTATTTGACGCTATTCATTGTATAAAAATTTGTACTGTAAATGAATAACTTAAAGAGAATTTGAATTGAATTGAATATATATATATATACAAGCTGTACCCGCGGGCTTCGCCCCGTTTAACTTCATAAGTATTCGCATGGCTCATTCACGTCCTGGTTGAAGTTCGTTCGCTACGCTCACTCACCTTTAGATTAGAGCTCGTTCGCTGCGCTCACTTGCCTTCCAGTTAGCTCGTTCGCTACGCTAAATCGCCTCCAGGTTGAAGTTCGTTCGCTACGCTCACTCACCTTTTGGTTGGAAATTAGCTGTTGTCATAAATTAAAAAAAAAAAATAATAGTGCTACACCCTGTTGGTAATCTTTGTAACTTTTATGCTATTGAACATCATAGAACAGAACCAACTTGTTTAATTGAAACAGCTGTTAAGATTCATTCATTCCTTTTAAATATGAAAAATCATAAGATTATCATGGGGAACTACAGAGCCACTGGGGTGGAGCCCAAAAGGGTTTTTTGGAATTCAAGAGAAATCATAAATGATGGTTAATAAAGATGATTTCATTTAATTTTGTTTTGTTTATTCTTCTTAGGTTTAGCATTTGTTTTGTAAAGATAATGATTGTTTTAGCGATAAGTAAGGCATAATTCATCTTTATATTTATTTGACGCTATTCATTGTATAAAAATTTGTACTGTAAATGAATAACTTAAAGAGAATTTGAATTGAATTGAATATATATATATATACAAGCTGTACCCGCGGGCTTCGCCCCGTTTAACTTCATAAGTATTCGCATGGCTCATTCACGTCCTGGTTGAAGTTCGTTCGCTACGCTCACTCACCTTTAGGTTAGAGCTCGTTCGCTGCGCTCACTTGCCTTCCGGTTAGCTCGTTCGCTACGCTAAATCGCCTCCAGGTTGAAGTTCGTTCGCTACGCTCACTCACCTTTTGGTTGGAAATTAGCTGTTGTCATAAATAAAAAAAAAAAAAATAATAGTGCTACACCCTGTTGGTAATCCTTGTAACTTTTATGCTATTGAACATCATAGAACAGAACCAACTTGTTTAATTGAAACAGCTGTTAAGATTCATTCATTCCTTTTAAATATGAAAAATCATAAGATTAACATGGGGAACTACAGAGCCACTGGGGTGGAGCCCAAAAGGGTTTTTTGGAATTCAAGAGAAATCATAAATGATGGTTAATAAAGATGATTTCATTTAATTTTGTTTTGTTTATTCTTCTTAGGTTTAGCATTTGTTTTGTAAAGATAATGATTGTTTTAGCGATAAGTAAGGCATAATTCATCTTTATATTTATTTGACGCTATTCATTGTATAAAAATTTTTACTGTAAATGAATAACTTAAAGAGAATTTGAATTGAATTGGATATATATATATATACAAGCTGTACCCGCGGGCTTCGCCCCGTTTAACTTCATAAGTATTCGCATGGCTCATTCACGTCCTGGTTGAAGTTCGTTCGCTACGCTCACTCACCTTTAGGTTAGAGCTCGTTCGCTGCGCTCACTTGCCTTCCGGTTAGCTCGTTCGCTACGCTAACTCGCCTTTAATGTTAATCGGGAATGTGAGCTATCATCATGCCAAATTTCAGCCCAATCCGTCCAGTAGTTTATGCGTGATTGAGCAACACACACACACACACACACAAACATACACACAAACTCACAAACTTTCAGATTTATAATATTAGTAAGATATATATGTCCGAGGCGATAAGTTGAGTAATTTTTGTCCGATTTTGATGAAATTTGGTTTAAAAGTGTAAAGCAGGATAAACTTGAATTAGTTCGCGAACCAGCATGATCGGACCATGGGAACCGGGCTTTACAAGAGGTTTTATGGGGTAAAAATTGGTTTTTCTCACTTTTGACCCTTGAAACAGAAAAATTCCCAATTCCTCTTTAGAACTTTTTAAAAAGCTTAAAAAACAAATACAGTGGAACCTTGATAAGAAGACCCTCGATAACAAGTCGCCCTTGATAACAAGGGTCATTTTCAAATCCCCTTAAAATTATTTTACCCCTAATCACATGTTATTACAAACCTCGATAAGAAGTCAACCTTGATAACAAGTCTTATTTTACAAACCCCATGAGAGTCTTGTTATCAAGGTTCTACTGTAATTTAGTATATAAAAGTATTTTTGTTTAGTTATTGGTAACGGAGAAAATTTAAAAAAAATTTAAATTTAAAATTTCCATGTTATTCTTATGGAGAATATTGTAAAATGTTGTAGTTTGCTTGTTTATGGATATATTTTGATCAAACTTGGCCAATTTATTTATTTTATACTAAGCTATCTTACTAAAACACATTTTATTAGTTTCCTTGTAGCATCAAACCTAGGTACTCGTTATACCTAATGTTATTTAAATATATTTAATTGAAGATTAATTCAGACAAATGGAAATTCGCTTAGTCGGCAGGTTTGCTGCGGCGGGGGTATTTTTATCTAAATAGGCTATTATGAAGATGCGGTCTTATTATTTACTTTCAACAGGTCAAGTAAACTTCTTATCCTGTTGTGAAATTTTATGTGGAAACTTTTGAGTGTGCCAAATTTGACTAAATGTAACCACATGGGTTTGATAACAAAGATATAATATTGATCATATGTAAAATGAGAGCTAAACAACCCATTTTAATAAACTTTTTTAACTCTAATAAAGCATGTTGTTAAACTAATGTTTATGTAAGTTCAACAAAACATGTGGTCTACGGTATCGCTGAGTTTATACAACACATTCTATACTTCCCAACCAATTGTAAAATTTGAAATACTTTTTAAGATAATATCGTGTTGGTAACACACTTGATCGTCATGTTGTATTGATCAGAATGTTGAAAACTATTCATACAATTTTCTCAAACCCTAGTAGCACAAATATATATTAAATACATATGAATAAATATATTTAAAATCTATTTTATATATCTTAAGTGTGTATTAATGTAAATTTTATATAATATTTAAAATATATTAAATATATAAAAAATATGTTTTTGAATCTATTAAATATTAAAAAAATATGTTCCAATAATATATTTTATTGAATAATATTTAAATAAAAAATGTATTTAATATCTCTTCCAAACATCCCATTAGGCCTAAACATAAAAACACAAAATAATAAAGATTTAGTATGAAAAACACAATTATCAGTTGAGTAAATTGATTGAATAGTTCATAAAAATAAATTTTGAAAAAATTGCTGGATAAAATTTTTTCAGCCCCGGTGGGTCTCGAACCTGGGTCCTTCGACTTATGAGCCTCCTACCTTACCACTGAGCTACTTGTGATCGTTGTTAGCATTGGTTTTCAAATGGTGAAAGAGTGGCCCTCAGTTGCAATGGTTGCAATACTTGAAATATTTATGATACTACAGTATAATATGATTCTGTTTTGGCATCAAGTAGTTGAGTTGAATAGTGCTGTAGTGAATAGTGAGTAGTCTCCACAAATACAAATACAGTAAACTACAAAATTTAAATACTATGACAAATATTATGAAATTTATGGCATATGTAAATCAAATAATTATTTTTAGAACGTCATATACAACCGTAATTAGTTTCTTAAAAGGTCGCCAGTCACTAGCACCCTTTTCTAGCCAATCATTCGAGATTTCTATGATCACATTCATTGTCAAATATTGCAATTAAAAAATAAAACCCATCAACACTTTTTTTTTGTAGCTGTCAAACATGTATAGGCCTACTGCCTCTTGACTATATGCTATTTTATTTCTTTACGTGTATGATAGAGTGACACCATTCAGAGTACGTATTATTATTAACTTAATTTTAACGCTTTCACAATAGCAATTATCATACAAAAAATGCATGTATAAATCGATAGACACTATAAAAAACAAAAAGATGCAAATTATTTATTTGCTAATATATAGATTATAGGCTATATATTCTAAAAATATAATATTATTTTATTAATAAAAATATTAGACGTGTTTCAAAATATATTTATAAATAATTTAAATATATAATATAGTTTCAACAATATGTTTTATATATATTTAAAATATTCTCAACACATAATTTTTTTAAATATTTAATAGGAAAAATATACATATAAAATATGTATATTATAGATTCTATACTTGTTTTATCAATATATATTATGAATCTATTTTATATATTCAAAACTTATATTTAATTTATATTTTGCATTGCTTTTTGGTAATATTTTTAATATATATTTGAATATATCAAACTATTATTAAAGATATATTATATATATATATTTTATTCGAGGTTCTATCAAATACAACTTTAAATATATAAAATATTTATAAAATACATATTTGTGCTACTAGGGAAGCAGGCAGAATTTAAAAAGTTACATCTGCTAATCATATGGCATGCAGGATTATTTAATTTTTGCCTGAAATGTCAAATCTAGCCAAGATTGAGAAAATGTCGATTGGCCGGATTCAACCAAAACTGTCAGTTCACCAGATGATATTACCAAGCAAACATAGAAAAAATACTGATACAAAGGATGTATGTAATGTCCACATCTTGACTTATGAATCTTGTTATAGATGTTGATAGCTCTGAGACAAACTGATAAGTTAAATTGATGAAATAGTTGTATTATACCTATAAACAATATTTTAATTTATTGGTTTATTAAAAACCATGAAACGTGATCATTTTGCTCAACTGACTTTCACTGCTATGAAAACAAGCCTAGTTATTGAGTGCTAAGATATTTACAGTCAATCTAAGTTTGATATACAAATTGTGTAACTAATCGTATGTAGGCATTTGAATGGTACCCAAAAATATTAAGGTTTTTATTTCCATATTCATGTTATGTTGTTGTTGAATCAAACAGTTTTTTCAGGTTCACAAACTTATAAATGAAAAAATTGCATCACCACCAGAAATCACAATTCGAGGAGGCAGTGGACCCCCCACTTCTGTAAGTAATTTTTAAAAACTGTTTTAGATCGAATTTACATTGGATCTGGAACTCAGTTATATTTACCTTAGCAAGCTTTTCAATTCTCAAACAAACATAATTATTTATACCTGTTTTGAAACTAAAATAGTGGCTTCCAATTTAAAAGGTTACACTTAGGTCTTGATATACTTCTTTGTATTTAGTAATACAGTAGAGTCCCGCAAACTCGGCGTAATGTGGACTGGAAGGGTGCCGAGTTTGTGAAGTGCCGGGTTATCGGGAACTAGAGTTAAAAATAAGAACAATAAAATTTTTAAGCTTTTTAACCGCCTTTTTTAATTAGATTTATATTATAAGTCAGTATTAAGTCATAGGATTTAGTACAACAAATCCTTAGTACGAGTTACAAAGCTTACTAGAGCTGACTAGTGTCCATGTTTAACTCGGACTAAAAAAATCACTAATTTTCTGAGCCAGGTGATGGCCGAGTTATCCAGACTGCCGGGTTATCGAGTGCCAAGTTTGCGGGACTCTACTGTAATGACAAAAGTAAAAATTCTGATTTTCATTTTCAGGATGACAATGAAAACAAAATCTACCAGGCTTGGAATAGGCTAAAGATTAATGCACTGTCTAAAGCAATCGCAATTGCTCCTGATGTTGTAAACTGCACAATCGGCCCTCATTCCCACTCCACAGACACTCCTGATTTTGAATCCATTGACAATGAAAAAGTCGACTTACAAAATGTTGTTACCTCTACACCTTTAAAATCAAACGAGAGAATAAAAGTAAAAAAAATTGAGGATTCTGTTGATTGCTACAAAAGTGAGACATTTAACATTTCACAAATAATACATGACTCGAATGTTTCTCCCACGAGTTATGAAGTAGATCAGTTGACACTGCTGAAAAACGAATGCTTGAAGAATATCGAAACTCAGATTGTCAAATGCGGTGAGGTAAGTGAATCTTTTTTTATCTCAAACCTTCTTGAAAATCCATCTGGATAAAATGGTACCATTCTAATCTGGTAATCTTGGTGAGTCGGTGGCATGGCGGACCACGGATCCTGGACAGCGATTTCATGGGGTTCCTATCCTAGTGCCTGCCACAGAATTTGATCAGTACAGTCCACTCTTACACTATATTGGCTCATCCCTTGCTTTGCTGGATACGATCCTTGCATGAGCCCATGGCCTAAGTGAACGGGCAAATGGAAGGTTAAAAGAATAAAGGCTTCCCTAAATAAAAACAAAAAAAAACCTTTGCTGTCGTCTTAGGTGTGTCCAGACTCTTGGAAACGGGGGTGCCAGAGCTTCTGAATGGTCCAGGCATTTATTCCCGCAAAATTTTAAATTGGAGCTAGAATATCAAATTTTTAACGATTTATAGCTTATAACTTTTTACATCTTTGAAAACTTTCAATTAACTCTCTATCATTCTTCACTGATTGCTGTTTGTGATTCTGACATACTGTAACCCTTTATTATCATGCAAAAAATGTTATAATTTACTAATAGAATAAGACGTTTTTTATTTATGTGCACATTTTGAATATTTTAATCACACGTCCCATGGATTATCTAGTTGCTTTGAATAAATGTTGAACCTTCAAACGAAAACCAACAAGTTTTGACCAATCAGAGGACGCTGAGCCTTCAGCCCATGATTCAATGCGACAGCTGAAGCTCGACTAGTGCTGCACCCAAACTTACATTACTTAAGGCGCAAGCGAAACTAATGAAATTAAGAATGAGGCTATAAATGTAAAATCACACCATCGGTATCAACGTGCACTTTAGTGTCAGTGCATTCCATGATATATCCGTCCAAGCCATGACGTCTGGTTTTTTTTTTTTTTTTTAAGGGGGAGGAGGGAAAATGCTTTTACGCACACAGGTAACCTGTAGTGTGAGACTCCTGAAATTATTAGACTACTCACTAAAAAAACCCCTCTACTCTGTTGGACACAGACCTGGAATTGTTTGTCACATTACTTTAAGTCAGGCCAACATGTGACCTAAGCCCTCAGGGCTCGCACTGTTTCTGGCATTTAGATTCTTTATGACCTACACCGCATCCCGGCCAAGGTCGAGCTTCTTGGCGCGGAGAATACCCTGGATATAATGTGACACACAGGTCCAATAGTCTTCACCCTCCGTCATCATCGGTATGACCGTGTCCACCGACAGCAGTCCTACAAACTGCTGAGCCTCCAGATGGGGCCTTTCCCAATGCTGGCAGTGAAAAAAAGTATGTTCCACGTCATCAGGAGTGCCTGGGCAGTATATGCAATCGGGTGACTTTGCCCATCTTGAACAGGTACGACCGAAAAAAGCCGTGACCCGTCAGGAATTGGGTGATGTAGAAATTCACCTCACCGCACCGCCGATTAACCCAAGGTTGGATTTGCTGTATCAGTTGCCTGGTCCAGCGTCCCCGTGTCTCCTGTTCCCAGCTCTCCTGCCACAGCTGGTAGCTGCGGGTGCGTTCCTCTGTTCGTGCCTGGTCCTCCCCACGGCGCCGGTAAATTGCCTTTCTCTACACCGCCAAAAGTTTGACGGGAATGACTCCAGGACGGCGGGCTCGGACACTGTTTGGTAGGCAGATGCTACCCTTAGAGCTGCCTGACGCTGCACTCGGGCGAGCCGCATCCTGTATACCTCCTTATTGAGAGCGTCTGCCTACACCTCAGCACCGTACAAGAGTACGGACAGGACCAAAAGACATTAATAGCCTTCTACGACTGGACCGAGGCCCTCCGACATTGGCCATCAACCGGCTAAGAGAAGAAACCACCCTAACGGCCTTGTCCGCTGTATGGAAGATCTGATCCCGCCTGCTAAGCTTGCTGTCCACCATGACCCCAAGGTACTTGGCAGAACGAACGGTTTGGACCTCGACGGCCCCCACCCTCAACGGATGGTGTCAATCCTTTTTTTGCCAAAATCACGATCTCGGTTTTGCTCAAAGCAAGCGAGCGACCATGGTCTGCCATCCATCAAATCAAATCAATCAAATCAAAATATCCTTTATTCATTTAAGTACAATTGTACAGGAATAGAGTCAGATCTTACAAAATAAAATGTTTTACATTTAAGAACTAATAATAAGACAGAATATTTATTTTATTTGTTCTCCCAAAACTCTTCAAGAGAATAAGGGGCAATTTTAATCAAATACTGTTTCAGACAATTTTTAAACTTTTTTGTATCATTTTCAGTTAGAAGTATTTTTGGAAGATGGGACATAAATTTATTTCCTGTGAATTTTGTTTTCTTTTTATAAAATTCTAGATTGTGTCTATCAATTTGAGATTGAGAACGAGTGTTATAATTATGATTAATTTTGTTTGATACCTGAGTTTTTGTAATATTTTTTGCATAAATAATAGTTTCCAAGATATATAGTCCATGAACAGTTAGTATTCCAAGATCGGTAAAAATATGTTTTACCGAATCTTTCCTTTTCAAATTAAACATTGCCCTAATTGCCCTTTTCTGGTACGATAAAATTCGTTTTAAGTTTTTTGATGTAGTTGCTCCATATATACTGATTCCATAAGCTAAATTAGAATGAACTAAGGCATAATATATTGATATTAATGTTTTTAAGCTGCAAACTTTATACATTTGTCTTAAAGCAGATACTCCTGAAGACATTTTTTTGATAACATGATCAACATGTTTGTCCCAGGCTAGATTTTTATCAATTATTAAACCAAGAAATTTTGTATGTTCTACCTGTTGTAATTTATAATCTTCTAAGATTATGTCTGGATTTAATTTGTTTTTGTTTTGTTTTGTAGAAAATGATACAAAATTAGATTTTTCAGGGTTTAAAAGAAGGTTTTTGCTATTTAAGAATTTTTTTATGATGGAGAGACTGACCAATGATGATGCCTCAATACTTTCTTTTGAATTTCCACAAATGGTAATATTAGTATCGTCAGCATACAAAAAGGCCGCCCTGCCCACAGGCATCAAGTCCGGCAGACCCCTCAAGTATATTAGGAACAAGAGGGGCCCCAACACTGACCCCTGCGGAACTCCATGGCGGACCCTCTGCATCTTTGAATTAAACTTTTGGATGTAATTATATTTACTTGAGAAATCTGATTTATAATGTTCTATCTCAACATATTGTTGCCTAAGAAATAGGTAGGATCTAAACCAATTTAATTCTTTTTCATGAATACCTAATTTTGATAAAGTGTCGATAAGATTTTCATGCGATACACTATCAAATCCCCTTGTTAAATCAAGAAAAATGCCAATTACTTTTTCTCTCTTATCCACTGCATTTATTATACTTTCAATAAATTCAATAACTGCAGTGACTGTCGATTTGCCTGCTTGAAATCCATCTTGTTCTGAATCCGTCCATTGAATCCATGCGCTTATGGTACGCATAACTTAGTTTGGCTTTAGCTGAGCCAGCTCAACGCTGCGTGCAGCTATCAAAGCTGCAACGTCGTCTACGTACCCAACCAAAACAGTTTCCTCAGGCATTTCAGACCTCAGAAGGCTGTCATAAGCGACATGCCAGGGGTCTGGGCTGAGTATGGAACCTTGGGTAGCACCAGAAGTGACACTCATCAACCGAGGGCCCTCCGTAGTGTCATACGTGAGGAGGCGGAACCGGAGATAATCCTCTAAGATGAGGTATGCCGGAACATGGAAGGTGTTCTCCAAAGCGTCCAGCATATCAGACCACCTCGTGGAATTAAATGCATTTCGCACATCGAGTTTTACGAGTAGCACAACCAATCACCTACCAATCACAACCAAAACGAACTCTTAATTGGTTTACGTCATATCCCAGTGAAAGATCTCAATACGTAGAAATAACTCACTTGACAAATTACAATAGAATTATTAAATCATGCTCAACTTATAAGCCAATAGTTTTCGGAGTGCCATAAGGCTCAATGTTAGGCCCTTATAAGGATTATAAGGTACTTATTATAGGGTACTTATAAGGACCCCTGCTTTTTTGTGCTATCTATGTGGAATGAAAGATTCTTTAATATATAATACAAATTCAACACTATGTCTGTATGCTGATGACTCGAATTTGGTAATATCATCCAACTCAATAGAGCAAACAGAAATGTTCGCTTATATAGAATTGGAAAGTATCGGAAATTTTCTTAATAACCATAACTTGATGATAAATTTACAAAAAACTAAATTTATAAATTTTAAGACAAAACAAAATAGACAAAAGGAGTCAACAACAATAAGCTATAACTTACAAAATATTGATGAAGAAATTAGTACCAATTTTTTGGGTTTAACACTAGATCAGCACTTGAATTGGGATAAACATGTCCACAAAAGTTTAAGTAAAATTAATTCCGGAATTCATGCTTTATCAAGTATGTCTTATGTCTTTTTACTGTGATTTAAAAACTTTAAAAAATATATATTTTGCACATGTGCATTCACATATCTTGTTTGTCATAGCACTCTACGGCTCAACAAAAATATGTAATCTAGATAGCATTTTAAAGGAGCAAAAAAGAGCGGTTAGAATCATGCTTAAGCTGCAGCGTGATGAGTCAGCCAAAGAGCATTTTAAGGACCTAAAAATCTTTACTGTTTACGGGCAGTATATATATGAATCAATAATAATTGCAAAAAACAAGAAGTATATTCGAACCAAAAGAAAAATCCCATTCTTATAATTTAAGAAATAAGAACGAAAATGTACAACCACACAGGACAAAATTTTTTGAAAAGAAACCATCTTATGCAGGTAATAGATTTTTTAAATTTATTCCAAAAAATATTAAAAAAGAAACAGATCCAAACAAGTTTAAAAAAAATATTGAAAGAGTTTTTAATAAATTTAGCAATTTATTCTGTTGATGATTTTTTCACCTCCCTCAGTCGCTATGATAGTTGAAATTAATTATCCTACTAGATTTGTAAAATGTATTTGTTGTTTTTATAACCATTCTTCATGTTTTGCTGTTTTTTATACTGTTGAACTATTTTGACACTATTTATTGTAATTATTTTGACACTATTTATTGTACAGTGTACATAAAAACGAATAAAGATATTTGAATTGAATTGAACCCTACGAGAGTGGTTAAAATCCTCAGCTCTCATCACGACTTGCTTCACCCCTCCAATTGCGTCAACCGTTGATCCTGAATCCATACGGACAAGGGGTGAGGTCCCCTGCAGCGACAACGGCTGAATTCAGCCAGGAACGGATCAATTTCTTGAGGACTTTGCCAGCTGTATCCAACATACACAGAAGTCTGTAAGAGGATGGCAGGTCTGGGTCTCCCTTGCCCTTCCCAACAAGCACAAGCCTAGCTGTTTTCCAGCACGAGGGGAAAACCTGATGTCTGGTTAGGACCATAGTAGAGTTATGAAATAATACAATGGACTAAAGTATGCATTTTAAGGTTCACTTGGAGACTTACTCACCAATCTGTTCCAAACTTGTTGCTAACAAAATTGGAACAGATCGGTGTCAGAGGCACTGCTCTCTCCTGGTTCAAAAACTATTTATCTGACAGACATCAAGTGGTTTCCATCTGTGGTGTGAATAGTGATGCAAATTCAATTGAGTATGGGGTTATTCAGGGAAGTACTCTGGGGCCTATACTTTTTCTAATCTATATAAATAACATTTCAAAACTGAACCTGGATGGTTAGTTCACCATTTTCATTTGCTGACGACACATTAGTTTTGTTAAATAATTCCTGGGTCGTAAATAATTGGTCGTTCATGGGAGGATGTCAGGTCTAAAGCTCTCCGTGACCTCTCACTTCTAAAAAAATGGTTCGATCAAAATGTGCTCTCACTTAATGTGAACAAGACTAAATTTCTTCAGATATCACTCAGTACAAGCACTGATTATAGTCTAGACAATTTGAAGATTCATTGTTGCGGCGACCATAACAGTATATACATAATTGTGAATACATTGAAAAAGTAGATTATTACAAATATTTAGGTGTTTATTTTGACTACCGAATGAGGTGGTCAGAGCATGTAGATTTCTTAAAGAAAAGGATTCGTAAATACATATATGCTTTTAATCAACTGAGTGTCATTTTAGACGAGGAGGACGTAAAGAGAGCTTATTTCGCTTATGTACAATCCTTGATTTCATTTGGAATTATTTGCTGGGGAGCATGCTATCACACCACCTTGGAACCATTGAATGTGGTCGAAAGATCAATTTTGAAAGTAGCTTTTAGAAAAAATAAAAGGTACTCCACTGATGCTCTATTCCGTGAGACGGGAGTATTACCAGTCAGACATATTTTCATTCAGTTTCTTCTTAGTCACACATTCAAAAACTCAAACACGATCCCTTACAGCAGTCACACAATTACCAATGAAGAGGCCGAAACTTTGATCAGACCTAATCATACTTGACCCTGACTAAACAATCCTTGACCCTTCGACCCCCTCGCCCTCGGAATGTCTTATGTCTTAGATTGCACTGGCTTTGGTTGTCGTCGCCGACATTCTCTCATCGGCTAAACGATCAAGTTAAACTAACAAGGCTTAAAAATCTTCCCAATTTTAGTTTGTGCCCTCAATTTGTTTAGACTGATAACAGCCAGGCCTACGCACAGGCACCTGCCCATGTAGGCCTACCCCATAAGTTAGGCAAATTTTATTTTAGAAATTTTGTACTGTTAATGTTGTATAGCTACTCTCTGTTTTAGTTTATAATTCTTGGGATAAATAAACATTTTTCATTTTTAATTTCCTTTTTTTTATATGAAGTTAAATAAAAAAATACAATACTGCTAAACATGGTCGGTACACCAACCTATTGAATATCCTGTGTCGGCCAATAGGACAGGTTTAGGGAGTATGGCCAGTCAACTAAAGCTCAAAGTTTAGAATTCATATCAAAATTAAGCAGAAATATTCTAGGCCGTCACATATGTGTGGGCTTACAGCAATTTCTTTTTTTGCTTCTTATTTAGTCTGACCTTTATTGATAACTTAATGTAGCATAATGACAAAAAAAATTTCTACTACCGATAATAAAAGTTGTTTATTGGGTATTACATGGGTATCCACACTGTATCAAATAATTAACACTAGAAATGTATAATATAACCAGGCCTACCTTTTATACAAGATTTACCAATGTGTTTTTATTTACTCAAGAGTTTTTTTGTTATTTTACAGAGAAAAAAACAGCAGCAGATTAAAAAGTGGTTAGAAAATGATGCCAAGATCAAAGAAAAATTACAGGCCCAGAAAATCGAAATGGACCGAGAAATGCTTATACGTATACAAAATCTGTACATAGAGTCTCAAAAGTTTGTCACTGAGGGTAAAGAGTCTTCTCAAAAAGTTAAAAACCAGGAGTTACAGCAGAGTAAATCAGATCATGATAAGGTTTGTTTTCGTAGTGTTTTATTGATTCTGAATTGTTGTTTTAATTGTTTATGTTTAGTAAATCTTTATTTGAAGAATGAAAAAATCTTGCTATTGACCCTTTGAAGTATAAAAATATATTGGATATTATTCATAGATCAATTAATTTCATCACGTTTGTAAATTTAACAAGTAAATTGGTCTTTTTCTCTTCTTTTTTGTTGACTGTGCCTTTGGAATATTGAAAGGAGGTATCTTTTTTTAGAGAATTGCAGAAACAAGTGAACGACTGAAGCAGATAGAACAGAAACGAAAAGAGCTAGAAGAAAAACAGAAGAAAAAAAGAGAAGAGCTAAAACGATGTATTGAAGGAATATTCCAAGTCCAAGTCGCGTATGGACTAAAGTACAACCAGATATCAGAAGTGACAAAGTAAGTGGTGATTCTTTTAAATCATCCTAATTTCAAATGTATGCATACAACTAAAGGATAGCTACGTTTTCTTTGAGTGTTACAGAAAATCATAAAATAAACTAATTGTCTATAGTAAAGGAGGCTGCAGTTAACTTTACTCAAACATAAGTCTGCTTATCCCTGTACTGTAGACAAAAACTATGAGAACATAAACATCCTTTTGAGATAAGCTTAATATGATGTCTAGTATAGAAAACTTAGTCATTTGAGGAAATTCTTAAACTGAAACAAACAATAATTATCTTTCCATTATTACTATCAGCACAGACTAATAGTTAATGTAATAAATAGCCCACAAATATTATGGAAAACGTTTTATACTGAACAAAATTATTAATACATCTTTTTAACAATTACACCAAACCGTAACATACAAAAGTTAAACAAGACAATTAACATTTGATCAGGTGATGATGTAAAGACAAGATGAGAAATATTACTCCTTTAAATACTCCCTTAATGTTTATCAACTTGATCCAGTCCAATCAATTGGACTAACTCTTGATGTCGTGGGCTAGGAACACCTTTTGTCAATATATCTGCTGGCATTTCTGCTGTTGGCTTATACAGAATGATGTCCCCTTGTTCCACAGTTTCTCTTATGAAATGATTTTGTATGTCAATATGCTTCGTTCTGCGATTCAACTTGTGGTTTACTGATAGTTTTTGGACGGATTGGTTATCATTGTAAATTATAATTGCATCCTTCTTCCCTAAGAGTTCTTTCAACACACTTCACTTGAAAATATATTAAAATCCATATTTTTTAGCCTCTGAGCTGATCTTGTGACTAAATCAATAAATAGAGTTACCTTAGCTCATAGTAGTTGTAACATTGTACTGCCGTTTCAGCATCTTCGTGCCATCATCAGACGTTCAGCCTTAGTGGTGTCATTAATATACAAAAACACAAACTGTCACACGCGACGTACACATACATTAACGGGGGTTTTTGACTAAACAGGCCTGTTGATTACACATATCCGCACTCGAGCAAGTAGCTGACTGGAGTAATTCTTGCGGTGTCGTGTCAGTGGCGGCATTATCATTTGTACTTTGCCCTCTTGGTCTTGAATCCTTCCTCTGATTTAAAATACTATTGAAAATTACGTGTGATTTAAATTCTAGTTCGTCATTTAAAATAAGTTCGCTATTGTCATTTTTTGTATGTGCTCTGTAAATTTCAAATTCTTCCAGGGTGTCCAATTTATTGCCTTTTGTACATGTGTGAAGGATTTCCAAGCCAGTGTTGAGGTCATTTAGGTTGTGATTATTGTCCATTAGATGTTGGGCAAATGTAGACTTTTGTTTGTCAGCTTTCGGTTTTGGATGATGTTCCTTATATCTAGTTTTAAAAGTGTTAAAAGTGAAATTTAAGACCAAGAGGGCAAAGTACAAATGATAATGCCGCCGCTGACACGACACCGCAAGAATGACTCCAGTCAGCTACTTGCTCGAGTGCGGATATGTATAATCAACAGGCCTGTTTAGTCAAAAACCCCCGTTTATGTATGTGTACGTCGCATGTGACAGTTGTGTTTTAGCGAATTTCCCATATAGGGAACAAGCTATTACCGTAGTACTCATGGTAAGACCTGGACGCAGGACCGATTGTTTTTTCGTTTTGAGGTCCCTAGAGGCCAAAAAACCATCCGTTCAAATTCATGTATATATATAATGACACACTTCTAACATACATAAATTCTATATCTAAGAATATCAAGTTTACCAAAGATGCCCAAAAAGAAAAAAATCTATTGTCTGGACTTAACAATCTAAAAAATTGACAAAAAACACTCATTTGATATTTTTAGAAAAACAACCACTTCTAAATTAATAATACCTAAATCATCAAACCATCCTTGGCAGCAAAAAATGGCAGCATTTCACTCTATGATTTACAGACTAATAACATTGCCCCTAAACAAAACAAATTTTGAAAAAGAAAAGAAGATAATAAAATATATTGCAGCCGAAAATGGATATAAGGACAATCTTATTGATAATATGATAAAAAACAAAATTAAGAAACAAAAGAAAAAAGAAGAGAAATTGAAAAAAGAATACATATGTCTCCCTCATAACTCTAAAACAAATAAAGCAATAAGGAAAACCTTATCTAAAACAAATTACAAAGCAACATATAGAACAAAAAACAACGTCTTTAAGATTATAAATTCAAAAGTGTCCAAACATCAACAAATAACTGAAGAATAATCAAAATTTTACAAAAGCTGTTACAAAATTTCCTGTACAGACTGTAACAAGTATTATATTGGCCAAACTAGTAGAAGCTTCAAATGTAGATTCCAAGAACATATACAGGCATTTAAATTGAAGTATGAATTGAAGTATTGATTTTTTGAAGTATGAAATCAAACTACGCAGAACACCTAATAAAAACTAATCATAAATATCAAAATATAGAAAATAATTTATCAATAATTGAATTTGAACCAAACAAAGCCAAATTATTCATTAAAGAATAATTCCACATATATAGAAACCATAAAAAAGATCCTGAAAACATACTTAATACAATGCAAATTCAAAAAGAAAACATAATATATGAAAAAATCTTATATAATAAATCAAAAGAAAACAACACCTAAGCCAACCTATATACTAGACAAAATTCCAAAATCATATGATAATTTACTTATTTATTATTTACATTTCTATTTATTTACTATTTGTTCATAACTGTGATCATGGCCTAAGAGCCGAAACATGTAAGTTTATTCAATAAATTAATAACTAAAAAAAAAGGGTACTAAATGTTTAATTATTTATTTCATTTATTAATATTTATATATATGTGTCCGTTAGCACGATGACTCGAGCAAATATGATCCGATTTTGATGAAATTTGGTACAAACGTGTAAACCTACGTTTATTCGAACGAGTTCGCGATCCAGCATGATCGGACCATGGGAATGGGGGTTTAGTTTTATAGGGTAAAAATAGGTTTTTCCCATTTTTGACGCAAAAAACATAAAATTTAGCAATTCCTTTCCAAACCATTTTGTAGAGCTTAAAAAAAACAAATAATTTAGTATATTGAAGCGTTATTATGCGCCTAATGGTTACGGAGAAAATTCCAAAAAATTGTAAATTTAAAATTCCTATGTTATTCTTATGGAGAATAAGTAAACTGTTGTAGTTTGCTTGTTTATGAACATATTTTGATCAAATTTGGAAAATGTTTTAATTTCTTACTAACTATTAACATTATACAAAAAAAAAAGTTTTACCCTCCCTGATGCAGCAAACCTAAGTACTTGTTAAACTAATTCTATTTAAATAGGGAATAATGTTTTATTTTTAAGTAGACATTTCAGTGTAAATCCAATCAGTCAAATGGAAATTCGCTTAGTCTGCAGGTTTGCTGCGGTGGGGGGTATTTGTATATTAACGACGCCACTTAGGCTGAATGTCTCATGATGGCACGAAGATGCTGAAACGGCCGTAACAATTTTACAACTACTATGAGCTGATTGACGAAGGTAACTCTATTTATTGATTTAGTGAAAATATATCCTGTATAAGAACTAGAGGTGTGCAGATATCCGAAAATCGGGTCGGATTCGGTTAGGTTCGGATATCCCCTACCGAGCCCAAATTTGGTATCCTACACTATCATATATCCGACTTTTTCGGATAGACAACATATTTTGACGTTTTGGACAGAATACTAAATCTTCATTACCATCATTAGTTTCCCAGGACAAAATTACAGCAATACATTTCCAACGACGTAACAGCAAACGACAAAGAAGCCGTATGATGCAATACTGATGTATAGTTTAGTCGTTATCGGCTGTTTTGCTTTAACGATTAGATTCATCTGGAACGAACAGACCATGAAGAAGAACTACCATGGTCAACTCGTGCTTGTCTCCTGATACTAGGGGCGCTATGCGTAATACTTTTTTTACAGTACTGTTTTCAAGTATAAAAATCTAGCCTACTTCTGTGCTGTTACGTAAACAAAAGATTTAATGTTTCCCGAAAAAAGTCAGAATAGAAACAATAGAAAGGCAACACAATAGAAGGGTGGGAGGGGTTGTGCAATGACCTCGAAAGGAGTCCGGGTAGCAACAGTCATTCGAGTAGGCCGTGAGGGGGGAAGGGGTGGGTACGACCTTGAAGCTATATATAGACTTGCACTACTTCCCTAAACCTAAAGGACTGGCGAGTGGTATTCCAATCACAGGACAAGATACGTTGTTTTTCGGGTATTCATTGCCCGGTTTGACTTTGGATTGTCTTATTGTGTAGAAACTTTGAATATTAAAAAATAAAATTAGAACTAACCACGATTATTTAGCATTGATTGTGTATATTAAATGATTAAATGCTACGGACCAGGGGAAATGTACAAACTTTTGTCATGATTTGAATTTCAACATCAAAATGCAATATTGCACAATCATGATATTTTAGGTCATTGACCTTTATTATGCATCCGTTCAAAAGAGAAGCACGTTGATAAATTATAAATTGATATTCCCGTGGTTAAAAAGAATTATTTTATAATAACACTATAAATTCTCCGTTCAATTATATTAATTAGGCCCCGACGACTGTAGGAATTGCTTTTTACATTGTATTCTATTTTTTATTATTTACTTACGTCTTTAGCCAAATATTTTAAATTTTAATACGATTAGTTATATCACATTGGCTAAGATTGAATATTCGTCGGCCCTACAAAGTCCGTATAAAAGTTAGGCAAAATTTACCAAAACACTTTAACGAAGGTGAGGATGATATAGCTCCTACTGAGCGTCTGCAGGATTTCCTGAGCGCTTCTATAGCTCTGAGCCTTCGATTAAATTTAACAAAGTGATCAGTCAAAGCCGTGACAATTTCGTATCGACCCTTGGATTTTTCTCAGCTCCTTCCGAGCACTCCGGGGAAGAAATTTGAGTGTGGCTGGTTCTAGGGGTAGTCC